TCCTTTGTAACACCATCTATAAAACTATAATAAAAATTATTGTAATCGTATTCGCCCCCTCCTCTTGACTGCACGAATACTTGACTGCATGAATACTAGACTAAAAGGATGTAAAGCAAAACTACTAATCTTATCTGGGAGATTAACGCTTATACAATCGACTCTGTCAACCATTCTCACCCATTCCATGCAAATAAACTTTCTTCCAGCAAAGACTAGAAACAATATTGATCGCATTAAGAGAAACTTTCTATGGGATTCTACCACGGACCACATAAAAATCCATCATATTAACTGGAACAAGGTAACATCTCCTAAGCAAGAGGGAAGCCTTGGTCTGTACAAAGCAAAAAGGAAAAATATCGCACTCCTATCAAGCCTACTATGGGGAATCCCTCTCCAATCCTGAATCTCTATGGGCTAAAATAATAAAGGGTAAATAATGAATCCTATGGTTTACAAAACAAATGACTCCTATATCTGGTAAAGCACTGCAAAAACTTATTCCTTCTTCGCCAAAGGCATCGCTTGAAATTTTGGAAACGCGAGCGAGATAAGCATTTGCGATGATAGATGGGTTATTGGCAAACACACCCTAAGGGAACTAATCGAGGGGCCGTTAGGCAAGGAAGATAAAAAAATGTAACTACATTATTACTAATAAAAGTTGGAACCTAGAAGCTCTTCCATACGACCTACCAAATACGATCTCTGACCTTGTAACACAAACATACATTTCGTTCTCTAAAAACTTAAATGACTCATTCTTCTGGAAACGGAAGATGGGAACTTCACAATAAAATCTGCCTACAGCCTTTTCATTAGGCTCACAGAGGCAACCCAATCTCATGAACCCTTTCACCATTTCTGGATATGGAAAGCACCATGCCACAACAAACTCAAAACATTCCTATGGCTATTAGTACATACTTCAACGTCTACCCACTGCAGTTGTCCTAAGCCAAAGGAAAATAATCGAATGTAACTCCTGCAAATATTGTGGGATAGCGAAAAACATAAACCACGTATTCTTTCATTGCCCTATGAACAGTACAATATGGGTACAGTTAAATATCACCACCCCAACCTCAAACTAACTAGATTGGATAAAAGATACTTGTACCTCCACTACGAGTATCCTCCTACCCAATAACACATCAATACCTTTGGCTGTTATCACCCAATTATCCTTTGGCATATTTGGTTCAACTGTAATCATAATTATTTCAACAACTGCTCAACCAAAATTGACAACCTAAAACCAGTTACGCACGCAATGGAATACCTCTGACTAACAAACCATAACTTCAAAAAAATCTTAACCACAAAAATCCCAATAAAATGGATAGCCCCACCACAAAATATTTATAAACTCAATATAGATGGTGCACACCAAAAAAACTCCAACATTGGAGGAGTAGGTGGAATCATCAGAGATTCTGAAGGAAAATGGATTGATGGATTCTCCTGTCATATAATGGCCTCATCACCCATCCAAGGAGAAATTCTTGCCGTACTAAAAGGATTAGAACTTCCTTTCACAAAAAATTGAATACCGATTATAGTGGAAACAAATTGCCAGGTATTACTCTACCCATTACAAGACAAACTTCACAACAAAGCTAATGCTAATTTTCTCCATGATTGTAGGTTCCTGCTCGATGCACTGGGCCAGCGGGATGTTAGGCATGTCTACCGTGAAGGAAATCAAGTGGCGCACACAGTAGCGTAGTTTGGGAGCAGCTGTAACTCACATACTAACGCTGACTGTGAAGATCACTTCTGGAGTGAACCACCTTTATTTGCTTTCTCTACTTTTTGTAAGACTTACTAGGGACTGCTTCGTTAAGATCAGTCGAGGATTGTAATAACTCTCTTTAATTTCCTGAATAATAATAATATCTCGCCTCAAGCAAGAAAAAAGCTTAAATTTCTAAATGAGGTAACACAATTCAACAAAAATCACAGGTCATTTGTTGATGATCATATTAAGATCTGAGATATGCTTTACAGGAAATTATTTTCAAATTTTGAGTGTTATAAAAAGTATTGTTCTCATGTTCTCATTATTCACCATATATATTATCTTATGCCCATAATCAAATTTCCAAGTTGGTAACTAATTAAAAAAGGTAACTTAGCACAATCCTTATATTATTTACAGCCAGGAACATCAAGCCAAAGAACATTTTATATGGTGCAATTCACGCTATCAATCATATTATTGTTAGCGAAATATGTCTGAATGGTACACTTTGGATCTACTACTGGTGTTCAATCGGAGTAAAGTTTACTTGAGGTGTCTAAATAAAAAATCATGGCAACTTAGGTGTCACCATATATGTATTCAGCCAAGTAGGTGATAGGTGAGATTTTGATAATGGGTCGGAATGGAATTCCGGGAGTTGCAGTAGGTCTGTTGTGTCATTTGGGATGTGTGTGCAAAATTTCAGGCCATTCGGACGAGGTTTCATAGACGTTTTGATCAAAAGCGGAATTCAGAAGTTTTAGAGTTCTAAGGCTTGAATCCGATGTGTTTTGGTTGTTCCGATGTTGTTTGAGGTATTTTGAAGATTGGTATAAGTTTGGATGGTGGTATATGTCTGGTTTGTGCTTTTTGTTGAGGTCCCGGGGGCCTCGGGGTGATTTCGGATGATTGACGGAAAGTTTGGAGTTGAGTTTGGGAGCTGAAGCATTTTTGCTGCTGTCATAACCGCACCTGCAGTTGGGAGGCTGCAGGTGCGATGCCCGCAGAAGCAGAAGGCAGTCGCAGGTGCGGCCAAGAAGAAGATCAGCTGTAACCGCAGAAGCGGCTAAGGAAGCGCACCTGCGATAGCGCAGGTGCGAGAAAACAACCGATGCGGTGTCTTGGGCCACATAAGCGGTAGCGCAGAAGCGTATTAAACCTGGGCCAGAAGGTATAATAGAATTCCTTCGCGATTTTTGAGTTGTTCTTCACCATTTGCATGCGGGTTTGAGCTTGGGGGAGCTATTTGAAGAGGGATTTCATAGAGGTAAGGATTTTAGACCCTAAACTCGTTTCTATGGTGTTATTTTACTGATTTGGCTTGGAAATTAATGGAAATTAAGGGTTAAAATTGGAAAACTAGGGCTTGAGATTGGAGACCTTTGAGCAAGGGTTTGAGGGGTCATTTGTGGTCGGATTTTAATACTTTTGATATGTATGAACTCGTGTGGAGATAAGGAGTCTATTGATATAAATTTTATCGAATTCCGAGGTGCGGCCCGGGGGTCGGGTTGGACCGATTTCGGGATTTTTGGTATAATTTGATTATTTTTGCATGGGCTTCGTTCCCTTAGCTTATTCTAATGTTATGATTCTGATTTTGGGTAGATTCGATGCGAGTTGAGGCCGAGGCGAGAGGCAAAGGCATCGCGGACTAGTATTTCATCCGGTTTGAGGTAAGTAACCATTGTAAATCTAGAACTGAGGGTATAAAAACCCCGGTATTTCGTATTGATTTGATAAATGAGGTGACGCACATGCTAGGTGACGAGCGTGTGGGCGTGCACCGGTAGGGATTGTGACTTGGTCCGTCTCGTAGCAACTATTAAGCCGCGTACTTGATTTGAAATCTTATGATATCACGTATTTTAGAGATTGATACTACATTGTGGGTTGTATGCCATGTTTTGGGCATTGTGCCGACCTGTTGAGACACTTAGGGGCATTTTTACTGTCTTCCTCACTCTATTTGTTTGAAAGCATATCCCCAGTCATGTTTTACCTGTTTATTATTTAAACCTGGTTTTTATCACTCTGTTTCATAAAATATGAAAACTGTTTGGGCTGAGTTTTCCTGATTTCCACTGTTATGCCCGAGGGGCTGTAAGGTCAATGACTGAGAGAGGTTGAGGACCTAATCGTGAGGATTATATATATTATGGATCGGGCTGCACGCCGCAGCAATATTATATGTATATATTATGGATCGGGCTGCACGCCGCAGCGATACTTATATTTATCGGGCTGCACGCCGCAGCAATATATATATTGGATCGGGCTGCACGCCGCAGCGATATGACGCTTGGGTTGTAGGAGCCCCTCCGGAGTCTGTACACCCCCAGTGAGCGTAGTCGACTATAAACTATGGATCGGGCTGCACGCCGCAGCGACTATTATGATTATTACTACTATGAGATATTATTGAGCCTGAGTGCTGAGTGTGAGTACTATGTGACGAGAGTTGAGTCACGAGTGATCGAGAGGCTATATTTGTGAGTGATACCTTGCCCGAGGGGCCCATTTATGACATTTTTGCTGATTTCACTCTTCCTTTTATAATGAGCCTCTGTTGAAAAATGCTAAGTAAATGATTTGAAAGTATTTCAATTTAAATTGAAGTTTTACAAAGTAACTGGCTTTTAAATTGTTGAGTTTGACTTGATATTCTATTGTATACTCTTATATATGATTTTTAACTGCTCGTCACTGTACTCAGACCTTATTTACTTTAGTTACTTACTGAGTTGGCGTACTCACGTTACTCCCTGCATCTTGTGTGCAGATTCAGGTGCCCGAGCGGCAGAGTGAGGGTTCCCAGCATTTTCAGAGCTTATCGAAGACTGCAAGGTAGCTGCACAGCATCCGCAGCCCTGCTTTCCTCCTTCCTGTCCTTGTTTTTCCGCATTTTTAGACTTATCATGTATTAGACAATCGGACTGGTTGTATTTAGAGGCTCTAGACTTGTGACACTAGAAGGTTGGGCTGTGTTTGGTTTGTTGATATATTGTCTTTCCGCACATTTCAGTGAATTAAATATTTCTCTTGCAAATTTGAAGCTTAATCAGTATTAGCAAAAATGGCTTATTAAAAAGAATTTACTGTGATTAACTATTTGGGTTGGCTTGCCTAGTATTGTGATAGGCGCCATCACGACCGGGATATTTGGGGTCGTGACAGTTCAATAGGAAAAAAGTTTACTTGAGGTGTGTAAATAAAAAATCATGGCAACTTAAGTGTTTCCATATATGTATTCAGCCAAAACGATAAGAATATATTTCATAGGAAGTTCCAATATATTTTTTCACAGTGAAGGAAAAAAAATTGAATAATAATGTTAGAATAATTTCTACAGTACACAATGCCATGCAGATGCAGTTACAATAGACCTATGTTGCCATGCTAGAGAAATAGCTCTTGGATCTTCTGTTTCAAATATCCTAAACCCTCCATTTCCTCCATCAAGTTGTATTGGGGAAGAATGACTTCTGATTTTCAAAAGCAACTTTGCTTGCATAATATTCTTAGAACTTAATGGAAGTCCTAAAAATCCATGGCTTTCCATTCTTCCTTTCCATGTCTCCATTTGCTCATATCTTGATAAGAAATTGCTATTTTTTTCATAGTTCAACACATTCTTGATCTCTTTCCCAAGATGGTTTTTTTCAATGCTCAATCTTTCAATACTATCAATTGGTAAGCAATCATCCAATGAGTCAAACATGGCTGCAAAATAATGCAATGACTCCATGAATCTTGGCAAGAAATTTTGAGGGCTTTTGCATCCTTCTTGTTCCACTATGGTGACAATTGAAGGGCAAAGATTATGGACTTCTTTCAACGTGTGGGAAATCTTGGAATAACTGCTTAATGAGTTCAAATGAAAGATCAAATTTATAGCTAATGTTTCATTCTTCCTTTTTATTAGGTTACTTAGTTTAGATCCACTTAAAACCCCTTGAAACTCAAAAGATAAATTTCGAAAATCCTTTGCAAAACTAACAAGTCTTGTCTCGGTTTCTCTCAATTCATCGATTGTTTTTCCGTAGCCAGTGATCTTGAGAGAGATTCTATTAGATGTGGTTATATTTTCAGAGAGAGATTGAATAAGAGAAGGCCATTGGAATCCATAGGATATGTCAAAGTCAATAACATGCAAGAATCCATTGTTGGTTTTTTCTTCTTTTTCAAATGCTTCAAGAATGGCTTGGTTAGATGTGAAATGAGCAAATTGATAAAAAGGAGAAACCTTGTAGAATTCAGTGAAAGCCAAGAACTCTTCTTCTTGTGTAGGAAGCTTCATTATCATGTCATAAAAAGGCGAATTTCGTGTTAATAACCTCGCTATTAATCCATCAGCAAAATAGGCAGCAACCCTTTGGACAGAATCTCCAAATAAGGAAACATTTTGGTATAATTCATGAAGATTTTCTATAGCTGAATCAATGCTATTATCATCAACTGCTGTGGCAGAAATAAGCAATGAATGGATTAGATGAAGGCCTTTTCCATCTTCAACCACACTACCCTTTTTCTTTACATCTATTTTTAGCATGGATTCTCTCAACTCCAAAAGATTAAATATTTTTCCTTCACAATAATTACTTTCATTTAAATCCCAAGCGTTGATGAAAGCTAATTCCCTCCTTTTCCTTTTCTTGATCTTTTTCCTCTCACAACATGAGTTTGTTACTATAGCAAGTCTAAGACACAACAACTCTTCCTCTTGATCAACAATATCTCCCATCTTTATTTGTATATTGATATAAGAGATAAATTGATTAATAGGAAGATGAAAAGTGTAGAGAGAGAGGCCGTTTTATGAAAGGACCAAAAGGCAGCTTTATATAAGGGGAAAATGTAAGATAATGGGGATTAAATTATCTTGGAAAATTCTTTCTTGTCATTTTGTGACAAGAGTAGTAGGACAAGGGGTTGGTATATAAAGAGTACTCGTTTGTAATAATCATTTGATTAATACGAAGGATTGAAGGGTATCTTTTTGTTGGAAAAATGAAGTGTTCAATGTCAACATCATACTGTTTGTTTTTCCCTTCATATTATTTTCTTTTAGTATTATTCTTTGTGAATTGTATTTCAAATTGCTTATATATGCTATCTTTGTGAGCGGTTGGTCGTGATGGGTACGAGAAGAGGTAGAGGGTGACCTAAGAAGTATTGGGGAGAGGTGATCAGGCAGGACATGGTACGACTGCAGATTTCCGAGGACATGGCCCTTGATAGGAAGGTCTGGAGGTCAAGCATTAGGGTTGTAGGTTAGGGGGTAGTAGAGCTTTCCTTACTTCATACCCGGGGTGAGGCGGGGTTGGATTAGGGTTGATCTTAGATGGCTTGCAGTTTATGTTGAGTCCACACTATATATCCTTGCTGTTTATCTTAGCCCTAGGCCTTAGATATTGGTTACTGTTATTGTATGTTATTTATCTTTTGGTTGTTATGCTTCTGTTACTATTAGGGTTTCTACTGGAGTTACTAGTGAATTGACTTTTCTTGTTTTCTATTTCCGTCTTTATGGGCCGAAGGTCTATCGGAAACAGCCTCTCTGCCCTATCGGGGTAGGGGTAAGGTCTGCGTACATATTACCCTCCCCAGATCCCACTTTGTGTGATTTTACTGGTAGTTGTTGTTGTTGTTGTTAATATACGAAATTACTGATCCGATTAAGCTAAATGAGTGTTATGTAAAGCTAAAGAAAGTATTACTCCCTCCGTTCACTTTTAGTTGTCCACTTTTGATTTTATACTCTCTTTAAGAAAAACTACATAAAGTATGTATTTTACAAGTATATAATGATAGTATTTTCAAAAGTCTTGAAAAATGGGCAGTGAATAGTTAATGATAAGAGTAAAACAGGAGGAAAAAAGATTGTCTTTTTCTTGATTTAGTATAATGGATAAATTAAATAAAAGTGAACATATATTTAATAGACAAGTAAAAGAGAACGGAGAGAGTCATCCTACTTTTATTTTTTCCCTCTCAAAGCTCGAATTGGAACAACCTGTAATTGAGAGTTTAAGAGATCTTATTCAATCCCACACGCAGATGTACATGGACCCAAGCAGTGTCACGAGATACCGTTTTGTCGAAATTTTTTACTATTTATATATATAAAAATAATAAGTAAAACAGAAATACAAGATAAAAGCATTTAAAAGTGACACCACTTGCAACAAAACAGCTCAGTAGTGTAGTGCTTGATAGCTACAAGTTTGATGTAAGTGATTTTGGGTTTGAATTCCCTTGGCTCCACAAAATATTTTTTGATTGTTACGTGCCTCTTACTAAAAATAATGACACCGCTTATAAAAATTCTGCGTACACCACTGATGACGTATGTATCATGGTGATGTTTTAATTTTTGTGTTTTGCTTACTTTTGGTTGTTCGGAAAGCAAGAAAGATGCCAACTTGAAACAGACAAAAAACAACTGAAAAAGATTATACTACTATATAGCTAACCTATCGTCCTCATAAAGACAAGTCTTTGGTATAACAAGAAGATACATTTCCTCCTCCTCCTTCTAGATGCTTTCTACCATATGCCTTAATAGGTTTTCAGAACTACTTTTTTGGCCTTATCCCACGTTAATTAATCTTATCATATAGTCTAAGATATTAGTTGCAGTCCACCTTAATTAAAGTTGTCATTATCTGTCAATTTTATTCATATATTAATCCTCCTCCCTCTCCTTCAAATAGATTCCATTTTATTGCAATTTTTCTTAGTCTATAATTCTTGTGAAATGCGAGGGGCGATTACGTTTCAGAAAACAATAAAAATATCTATCTTTTTTTTTTTTTAAGTGTTCTATTCAAATTTTGTTTGAAGGCAAATTGAAAGTTTAATATGTATGATTGCTGAGAGTCTGAAACTAATGAAATCGGAAAAAAACTTTGGCCGATAAAATTCATTATGATATAATAATGACGGCTTGATGAGGTTGGTACTTTTGTCGATTATATCATAGAGCTTAATCAGATGTAATTTATGTCCAAATCCACACGTAGATTCTTTGAACAATTGTCTCTACGCAGTTATCATATTTATATAAAAGGATGTACGCACGTATTTTTTATGTGACATAGTGTAGGCAATAATTTTAAATGACACTTATTCAGCTTTTGAATAATCTTTTTTTTTCTTCTTCAAATAAGACATAAATAGTATCCTAGCCTTTCGAGGTGCGAGCGAAGGAACTTTTGATCTATCAATTTTACAGTTCAAAACTCTTCAAGATCTATCCGGAGTTCTATTTCACAAGGAAATTAGAGAATGTGTTTTATGAATTTAACAAGATTGAAGGTATTATAAGACAACAATAATAACATTAGTACAAAAATCAACAGCAACGAAAATAATGTAATACAAAGTGACTGAATTTGGAGAGTTGCATTTGTTTGACTGCACCACAATTCAATTAGAACTACGTATGTGTAGGAAAAAATTGAAGAAATGTATGCTCATATATAATAAAGATATTCATCCTGAAAGCATATGTAACTCTTGTATACGGATAAAATCGTGCTCATGGTACACCCCGGTCACCGACAAGATAAGCCAAGCTCGAGACATGATGAAAAGAGACCGGAATCGAGGCAAAGGTCTCATCGAGTCAGAAGCTGGGGGCATGATGGCCACCCTCGAGAATATCGGGGCATGGTTCAGGATTGGTCCTAGCCTTGAGCGACTTCGAAAAACATTGTCGGGCAATCAAGCACGACCAACAGAAGGCCGTAATATCCGTGACCGGTCGGATATCACGGCGGGGATCTCGGCACGTATCGACAAAGAATAGGCAATCAGTTGATTAGAAGATCTTTTTACCTATTATAGAGTTGTACCTAGAGTAGGACTCTTCTACTATATAAAGGGGGTCTGAAATTTTATGACAGACATTGTAACAAGCATTCCAAAGCAATACATTACTATTTTATTGTATCAAAGCTCTTTTTCTAGTTCATCAATACTGGCCACTGTGAACCCCGATTCCAGAGTCGACCAAATCCCAGGAGCACCACCGATATTAAATGGCCTGGATTCCAAGAAGTTTGTTCAAAAACCTTTTCCACCGAGCGCAGCTCCGAAGCCGATCCCTAGGAAGTTCGCATGCTCGAGATTCCTAAGTACAACGGAACAACCTACCCAAATAAGCATGTGACCTCCTATACGTGCGCCATCAAAGGGAACGACTTGGAGGATGATGAGATCGAGTTTGTCCTGTTGAAAAGGCTTGGGGAAACTCTGTCAAAGGGAGCTATGATATAGTATCACAACCTACCTCCTAATTCTATTGACTCGTTTGCTATGCTTGCAGATTCCTTCATAAAAGCACACGCTGCGGCTATCAAGGTCGAGACCAGGAAGTCAGACCTTTTCAAAGTAAAATAGAGGGATAATAAGATGCTCAGAGAATTCGTGTCCCGGTTTCAAATGGAACGGATGGACCTATCTCGAATCGCAGACGATTGGGACGTTAAGGCTTCACCCAAGGACTCAATATTCGAAGCTTGTTGGCTTCACAACAGTTGAAACAAAATCTGGTAGAATATCCGGCTGTTACTTGGGCCGGCATACATAACCAGTATCAATCAAAAATCAAGGTCGAAGATGATCAGCTTGGGGCCTATTCCGGTTGCGTTTATCCTATCAGAGCTGTCGACAGAGTCAAGAGAGATGTTGATCATGAACCAAGATCAAACAGGGATAGGCATCAGCCATACAATGGAGACCGAAGAGGTAATGGGTCTGGGTGAAACCCTGTGTGAAGTGAAAGGAGGAGAGATCGAGGTCAAAACAATCGGAGACTCATGAGCAAAAACAGTTTCGACAGGCCCATCCGACGTAAGTAAGAGCCAAGTTTATTGCAGTACAACTTTAACGTCGATGTTGCTGCCATTGTATTTTCCATCCAAGTTCTATGTGATTGAAGGAGATATGTGGTACAACGCTCTGTTCGGGAGGCCCTGGATTCACAGCATGAGGGTAGTGCCATCGACCCTACACCAGGTGTTGAAATTCCCAACGCCATGAGGGATCAAAACAATTTACGGAGAACAACCGTCCGCAAAGGAGATGTTCGCAGTTGAAGAGGTGATCCCAATATCCGCACTTTCAACACCAAAAAGTCTAGGTTCGATCATCGAGGAAGAAACCAAATAGCAATTACCAACACCGGCCCTGACCCAATCGGAGAAGTAGGGGACGGATGAAGACGACTACTACGGGGTTCCCAGGTCTTTTGTAGCCCCTGATGACCCGACGCCACCTAATCAACGGTCGAAGAACTGGAGCAGGTCATATTGACCGAGAATTTGCCAGATCGTAAGGTATACCTGAGCACGGGGTTAAGTCCCTAGCTCAGTAAAAAAACTCATTGAATTTCTTATAGCTAATATAGATTGTTTAGCTTGGTCCTACCTTTATATGACAGGGATCCCCCCGGAAATAACAACTCACAAGCTTATCCTGGACCCGAAGTTCCATCCAGTCAAACAAAAAAGGAGACCTCAATCCAAAGTCAAGCATGCACTCATCAAAGACGAGGTATCTAAACTCCTTAAAATAGGGTCCATTCGGGAGGTTAAGTCCCCGGATTGGTTAGCAAATGTAGTGTAGTCCCTGAAAAAGGGAATAAATTAAGAATGTGTGTAGACTATAAAGATCTGAATAGGATATGTCCCAAGGACTCTTTCCCTTTCCCAACATCGATCGTAGGATCGATGCGATGGCCGGCTACGAGATCCTCAGTTTGTTCGACACCTATTCCACATATAACCAAATTCGGATGGACACGGGCGATCAGGAAAAAACGTAC